CTTCCCAGACCCTTCCCGGACTCTTCCCAGACCCTTCCCTGACTCTTCCCTGACCCTTCCCAGGGTAATTGCTGGCAACAGTTTGCTGGCTGTTCCTATACACTTTTCCCTCGATGTATATCATACTAGCATTTGCTAGTTTAATTTGTTTACAAAACCAGAACCATGCCGGGATGATGTTCTCTGCAACTCCCTTCCCACCCCAACCCCCGACTTCAAATTGACTGTGTATACTGTGTATCTCTCTCGCCAAATTTCCCTGCCGAAAGTCAGTTTCAATAACGGTTAAAATAATATTTCCCTTAAGAACAGAGAAATTAAGCCAGTTTTTAAAACTGAAAAACCAGACTGGTGGACATGAAAAGTTCTCAAAAGTAGCACCAGAGACAGGACTTGCTTTAATTTATTATGAGCGTAGTTATAAATTATGTGGTATATTCCATGAAACTAGGTTTATGATCCAAATGAATAATATATTAATTAAATGAAAAGGGGGGTCCTCTAGATGATCCACTTAGGTCTTTTCCTACGTTTTGTGGTATCCACTAATCAGCACAAGGGTCTCCACACAACCTCTTTTGACATGTGTAGTGTCTGTGATAAGTGGTCTTCAGTGGCCAACCCAGGACTTGACCTGACCTACAAGCCTGGACATCGTAGGCTTGGTCCCAGTGCCGTGTGACGGGTGTGTTGAGTTCTTGTCACAGTGAGGTCTTTGTAACAATGAGTCCTTGTTAGGACACCTAGTGTCCGCCGCACCCCCTGCCCCCCCCCCCCATCTGAATGTGTATTTCAAACCTTCACAGCATCTGCTGGTAAAGTGACCCAGAGCCAAACCCACGGCTGTTGAGTCACCTCCAGGACAGAGCAGAGCTGCTCCGGAGGGTCTCTAAAGCTGTCATGTGTATGGACGCTTCCTCCCTCGCTGCAGCCGTGGCCTTGAGCTGCTGGCCTTAAGTTAGCAGCCGAGAGTGCTCTCACAGCTGCACCTTCAGGTGCCTTCTCGTGGGGTGGCTAAACCAGTGTTTCCACGTGTGACCCTCTCATGCTGTGATTAATAGAAAATATTTCTCATAGCCTGGGAATAAAAATAATGCCCTTTGCAAAGTGACATTAATGAGTTATGTATGTGGCGAGGGAACAGAAAAACCAGCGATGCTGAGGTGAGGAAATCCTCTCACGGGTAACTAGCAGAGGACACCCCCCCCCATTACATTTATTAATTAGTATCTGTCTCAAATAATTGCCTTCAGGGTAATTCTGTTTCCTCTTTCTCCATTAACTGTGATCGCGAATTGTTCAGTGTTGGTTTTGTTTCTTTCCGTTCCCTGTAGATTGTGTGCTACATATACTTCACAAGGATCATTGCGTTTCTCCTCAAACTCGCTGTCCCGTTCCAGTGGAAGTGGCTCTACCAGGTGTGCTGCTTGCAGGAGCGTGTCCTGTGGGGGGAAGTCTTCGAGTGGCCGAATGGGAGTCACAGGTGTAACGCAGACTGTTCCTCACTTAACTGGGATTGACCATTAAGACCATCTGTCTTGTCTGGGCTACAATTCAAACAATGGGTCCAGGAAAGCAGCTGGATTACGTGAGAAATCTGGAAGCAACTGCTTTATTGATTTTAGTTTTCAGTTTTAAGTCTTTGAATGGAAAAGCCTCAGGCGGAGAGCAAGAGTTGTCCTCTATAATTTAAAACCTAGATGAAATTTTGTGTTTTCCTTCAGCTATAGAGCTTAGAATAGCTCAGACTCCAGGCCTCCTTTCTCTGCCCATTTTTATTATTTCAGTAACCAAGCACCTTCACGGTACACTAGCACTAGCTTCCGAACTGCAGTGAGCCTCCACGTGAAAATGTAGGGACTCGTTTTTTCTGGAAGAACTCCCGTCGTTCTTTGGGCACAGGAGGAATGTGTGGGCATATAATGAGCTCAGAAGATCAGTGAAGGCTGATTAGAGCTTGGCCTCGAAGTTGCTAGCTCTGGGGAGAGGGGTACTCGCCGAGGTGTCGGGGAATCTAAGGAAAGCGCTCTGGATCATGAGAGCCTGGCATTCGGGTAATCAGCCTGGGGTGGAGTGGAAAGAGGATGTGTCCGTTGGGTTAGCTCCACTGCTCTAGGAAGAACACTGTTGCTAATGCCTTTATTTGGGGTGGGTTTTAAAATTCGCAGCTCCTGGATGAAATGGCCACGCTGGTATTCTTCGTTTTAACTGGGTATAAATTCCGTCCAGCTTCAGATAATCCCTACCTACAGCTTTCTCAGGAAGAGGACGACTTGGAAATGGAATCTGTGTAAGAAAGCCCCTCTCTCTCTCCCTCCCCTCTTCCTTTGCCCGGACCCCTTTACCTAATGAGCTGCAGCACAGTGTGAATTGGACCAGCTGCTGTCAGCATTTTGTGGCTCCAGATGTGGCGCCGCTATTTTTAGCAGAAGGAAATGGACACTCAATCTCGTATTTAGCCTGAAGTAAAGCATCTGCCAAGCATGGCTCCGTTTTTCAGGGAAAATAGAATTTGTCATCCTATTAAGCAACCTTGGTGCCTGCTTCCAGTAGCTTAGTGGCAGGATCTTGGGAATCTACCTGGCCTGTTCAAAACTACTGAGAATGGGCAACCCCACTTCCTGTTGGCCCCTGCCTTTGGGAGTTTATGTGTGAACATGCAATCATCCGAGTTATTTGTAAGTGCGAAATCGCCTCAGGTGTCCTTTATCATGGGTTTTCACAGCTCACGCATGCATGGTGACCTGTGTGTGAGCCTGAATATCGGCTGTTCTGGTTCACAAGGTAAGTGACTCTGGGGTCCTATTTTCTGAGAGGGCGCTTGTTTTCAAGGAACATGAATCGTGAGTAAGCACGCCTGCTTGTCGATTCAGGAAGTATGATCAGCCAGGTTCATTTGTTGGGTTTGATGAGGACCTGAGACTGGGTTTTCCTCCCTGACTGCACTTGCTACCGAGTGTGTTGCCTCCAGCACAGGAGACCTTTGACTTCTTGGGGGGACCGATAAACCAAGGCAGGTCCTAAGTCAGGAATTCCCTGTGTAGACGAAGAAATCCTTTCTTCCTACAGCGAAGGGGAAGACAGGGGAACCACTGGGGGTGGATAAAGAGTAAGGTGACCAGATTTAAAGCGGGACACCATTGACCGTGGGGGGAGGTGGGGGTGTTCTTGATTTAAAATGTGGTCTATATGGACCAAATAGACCGTTCCCTAGCTTGTTGTGCATTCTTTCAAAACATCAGGACTTTTTAAAAATGCCAAAAATTGGGACTGTCTCGCCCAAAGTGGAACGTCTGGTCCCCTTAAGAGTCACCGTGAGAGTCAGTCTGATCAGCAGCATTGCCACATGGGGCTGTTGGAGTCTGTCTCCAAGTTGAGTCCAGGCACAGGGATGCTGTGGGGCAGACGGTGGAGAACTGCAGCATCATGCTTGAGCTGTAATGGGACCCACCAACCATGCCGTTAGCAGCCTCACACTTAACCCATTGGGCCACCAGGGCTATTTGAGAGACAGATCAAAACCAAACTCAACTGCCATTGAGCCGATTCTGGCTCCTCGTGACCCGATGGGACAGGGTAGAACTCCCCCTGGTGTGTTGCCAACACTGTAACTCTTTATGGGAGTAGAAAGCCTCATCTTTGTCCAGCAGAGTAGCTGGTGGTTTTGAACTTTTGTAATTGCAGTTAGCAGCCCAACGCACAGGCACTACACCACCTGGGCTCAGAAGGCAGTAAATGCCTCGTGCTCAGTTGCTGATTGAGAGATATCTCTCCAGCTTTTCTGTGAGCGTTCTTGCAGTGTCTCGGGGATCAGCAGCGAGGCCCAGGGTGCCAGGGCCTGTTTATGTGCCTCTTCCACTGTAACTGAATCTGACCCCCATTGTAGGAATCCCATAGGGACCATGTTTTTGTATCATGGAAAAGGTTTTGTTGTTTTCTGTTTTGCTCAGACAATATTTGATAGTAGCAATAACCCGTTTAGCAAGAGATTCTTTTGTGTTTGTGTTAACTTCAGGATGAACAGATCACTAGACTCATAGGACCTGGGGGGAGTGTGTTCTTTATTTTGGTAATGGTTGGTAAGCAAGGCGTTTGGGGATATTGGGTCCAGGATTGCCCTGTGGGTGCCTCATTTTATATACTTCTACAGGGGAAATGTACTGAGGGTGCAGGCTTATCTTTCAGTAGCTTAGTGAAGGGAGCTGTTCTGCGGGGTAGAGAGGTTATATGCCTGCCAGCTGAGAGAGAGAGCAAGAGTCAAGCATCTTTTAACCCTCAGCCAAGTGAGGGTCCAGCTGGAGGAGGGAGGGTGTGTCCAGGATCAGTGGTCCGGTTTTACCAGTGAGAAAGAAGTGTGACAGTAGGAACGGATGGCGTTTGAGAGCTGTTCTCCAAGGAAGTGCTTCTGGGCTTTCTCTTGGGCTTACAACTCTACTGTTGAGAAAGTTCTGTGACGGTAGAAGAGGTGACAGGAAAACAGGCCTGCCACTAAGGCTCTGGCTCTGGCTCTTAGCCTGCCATCTGTCTCATCTGCAGGTGAACAGCAGGGCTAATCGCAGCTCTGGGTGACAACATGAGCACCCAGGGCTGTCATCTCCCTCTCCCACTTAGGGAAGCACTATTCCTGGATGATCCCTCTTACATTCTCCAGAATCAACTTAGGCCAGAGGGAAGCTGAGCCCTTGCCTCTTTTCTAGAAGGCCATGAACTCTGTAGTGTCATGCACATTGATGGGTAGGAGCTAGTCTAAACCCTTTATGGGAAGTTATATTCCTTAGGCTTTCCAACACCACACACACATGTCCAAGTCTGCACTGGTTTCTTCCTAATAAGTCTGACCATTAGGTCCTGGCACTGAGAGCACCTGAATGAGTTCTGGTCAAGGCCAATGACTGACTGCAGAGTCTGAGATGCTGTGTCCCTGTCACCTGCCCTCAGCCCCTTGGAGCCGAGGCGGAGGGAGCCGTAGGAGAGCCGTGCCTCTGGGAGGGTGAGTTGTGTGCAGCTGTGCTCCTGCTCCCTCTGGCTGGAGTGCCTTCCAGGTGCACAACTTCCTCTTTCCTTCCAGCCCCAACCTCCACGCGGGCCCCAGCCAACCTGGCATAGCCTCTCCCTGAGGTGGTCGACGTGAGTGCAGTTGGAAGTAGTGCTACCCCACCCTTTGCATTACTCTCAACATCTTTGTATCTGCCGTAAAGCTCACAGAGACCGACACATCTGGGAAACATGATTTACCACGAAACATTTTGCAAGTTACCAAGTATTGGCTATAATTTTAGGAAGGCCTCAGGCCAGTCTATTGGGACGGTTCAGTCATGGCCAGGGAAGCACACTGGAGCAGACCTAAGCACTTGTAAATGGTCCCGAGTGGTGCTGGAGTGGGAACCATGACGGGGACTGGCCATGGCCTTAGGGACCTTCAGCCCCTAGGAGACTGATGTGAGGCATAGATGATGGGCAGGCCTGTGACGAGAGAGAGATGCTCAAACCAGGCACACATTTGAAGCCCCCTGGCATCTTTGAGCTGGGCGGTGTTGTGTTTAACTCAGCGGGTCAGGAGATGTGGTTGCTATGCAACAAGCACCCTGCTCCCTTGTTTTCCAAGAGGGAGCTTAAGCTGCGAGCAGGGCTTCAGCCTGTGCTTTCCCCCATTCCAGTTAGCATTCTAGTTCACGCACGTTTTCAAGACGTGGCCCTTTTTGATGCGGTCTTCTTCGGGCATGGCTAAAGAGGGTTGAAGCCTGGAGTTGTAATGACCAGATGTGGTAGCAGACTCTCCATCTGGCAGGGTCTGGATTGGTTCTGCCATGCTGAGAAGTGGAGTGGGCAAGAAATGTTAGGTATAGCTTCCAGAGCTGAGAAGATGGTGCTCGGAGATAGCGCTCACGGCTGCGATTCGCCTCTCCCGCCCCCTGTGTCCACTTAGTGGGGAGAAAGCGACAGAAACCTCGCTGCTGTTGAGTCCACTCTAAAGGCAGGAGCACCGCCCCAGCTCAAGTGCCAGCCTACCTGGGCAGGCACTGGAGACAGAACAGCTGCCTCTGGAACAGGTTGGCAGCCTGACAGGGCCACCTGCTCCATGCATAAAACCGCCTGGTCCCTCTCTAAGCAGCCCATGATCCCTACAGGCAGTCATACTTGAATGCAGGAACAGGGGAGACAGCACAGTCAGGGCTGGGGGAGAGGTGTGCGCCTGGAGAAGAGAGAGGCCCGGCATCTCAGCTGATGGGGGTGATCGGGACAGGCTTAAAAGGGGAACAAGGGTCCCGTTGGGCCCAGGCCCCCCTTCTAGACCTCACTTTCCCAGTTTGGTGATAGGACCATCTGTGCGACCCTAGAAGGCTGTCATTGAGCCCGTGGAGTTCAAACTGGAAATCACAGCGCAAGGCTTAGTGTAAGCTCTGTGTAATGCCCTTCCATGCTGTGCCCAGGGCATTGGAGCCTGGTGATCTGGGTACATACTGCTGCTCAGATTCTGCTCTACAGCTCCTTGGGCCCCCTCCAGTATTTGGCCCCAAACTAGGACACTCGGGGAGGTGATTGAGAAGCTGTGAAGTTGCTGAAGCAGCCCCTCCCGTGTCCCTGCTGGGGAGGCTCAAGGGTGTTAATCTCTCCTCGGTCTTGTTCTTTCTCACTGCTGCATGGTCTAAAAGTGCTGCCACCAAGAGTCAGTCCCTGGGCACACCCACAGGGCCCAGTAGGCTTCCCTGCAGCCCTCAGCCAGGGCCTTCCGCACCTGCCGGCCGCCCTCACCACCTCCTTTCTGAGTCGTCGTTTTCACCAGGTGCTCTAACCACACATGGCTCCATTACGCCAGGCGTGCTTCTGCAAGGCTCGGGTTGCTGCTCTCTTCTGATGGCGCCTATGTGGAGCGCACAGGGCTGCCTGCCTGTGCAGGCGTTGAAAGGCTGGTGGTTCTCAGGGCATTCAGCTGCACCACCTCCCGTGCCGCAGTCTGGAGAAGGTCGCCTTAGGAGCGGTCTGTGTGCATCCTTCTTAATGAGGGAACACGTGTGATCCCTTCCTAATGAGGTCAGGCCCGAGATAGGAAGCAGCCAGCAGGAAGCGATAGCTGCATTATATCTGTTGAGCTGGCAGTGCTTTGACAATCCAGTAACTGCAAGCCACAGTGGGCTCGGCATTGGACTGCCGGCCCAGGCATGGCAGTTTAAACCGCCCGCTGTTCTTCGGGAGGAAGCTGAGGCTTTCTGCTCTCTGAAGACTGAGTCTAAACCAGGGGTTCTCCACCTTCCTAATGTCTCGACCCTTTCAGACAGTTCCTCATGTGGTGGTG